AAGCATTTTGAGATTTTTTAAACCCAGTCTGTAGATAAGCCTAATGTATTTTTATCCATCTCTGAAGGGAGAGAAGCGAAAGAAATAAAAATTGGATTATTGTCACGTTTATTAACAAGTGCCCGGGGCTTGTTATGCCTATACATTACCTGCCGCGCATATACACACGTAATTAATTAATAAACGGTAGCATACAAGCCTTCAGTCGCATTGTTATGATAATAATTACAAACGCATCACCGTCATATTTATTACATACATAAATATATATATATACATTGGTTTTGCTCATACATCAGAAGCACTTACTGAAATATCCGGTCAAAATATTGTTAAATATAATAAAGGCAAAAAATTAATAAAAAAAATAATTCTGTCAATAATTTCAATTAATAACATGAACAAAGAAAGCGTATTTTGTGGAGGGAATTTTCATAATGATTGACAATTTTAAAAAAATGTCAACTTAATCAACTTATCTCTTTAAGAAATTATTAAATAAACACAAAAAACGAATCCCGAGAAATTTACGAATCGATGTTTGGACCAGTCGCAACACGTGGCAGCGATTCCGACGCTTCAGGGGATCTGAAATAACCTGATCGTTGCATGCGCTTTTTCTTGATAATGTTAACTATGCCATCTGATCGCAAAACTCCAACTTGGTGACTATTTATTTTTATGATCACCAAAGTTACCAAAATTAATTATTGCTGCAGAGTTTCGGCGTAGAGCAAACCTGTAGATTCATCCGAAGGTACTTTGGTAGTAACTAATCCAATCAGTTAGTCAATTGAACTACGACCTACAACTGAACGTGGAGCCATGAAAATTGGGCATCCTCTGTCAAACTCATTTCCAACGTGCAGCGAGTGGCGTTTCACGACCATGATAAATCTATGCGTATATCCGCTATGAGTTCGGGTGAATATGTAAGTGGTTTTACTGAAGACCTTAGTATGGGTCGTCAATTAACTAAGTATCTTGATGGTAAAAATGCTGGCTGTAACTCCAAGTTGATATCGTGTTAAAATATTTAATTTGCAAGGTTAAAGATACATCAGGTGCATTGCGTTTTCAGTGAATGATATAGTCTTTCGTTCTTATGGCAACTTAATGCTCAACGATGATGGCAGCGATGACGACCCGTGGAACGTTTTGGATTTTTTTTTAACTTTGAGATTAATAATGTTTCTGCTGTTATCAACCGACAGTTATTTCCTTACAAGTCCAGTTTGCGCACTACGAATTGTTTGTTGGGTGTTGCAGAAATGAAAGAAGAGCTTTTCTCCCATACTTGAAATGCTATTTAGCGAAAAGTGATAGTAAATGTAGCCGAGCAGTCTATTATGATTGGTAAGACGAAAATGTTCATAATCTCGACTTTCATTACGTGGCACTCCAAACGAACTGTGCACGTACGCAATTGTCCTCCACTGCTACTAATTAATCCGATACTTGAAATCGTAGGGGTAATTGTTTTGTATTGCATTAGCAGGAAAATACAAAAATTCTGACGATGAATTCCTGGAAAACAAGAGTCTGTGTGATTGAAAAATGTAACAGAAAACATGGAAGAGAGTAACTCTGGGACTGTCAATTTTAAAGAATTCGTTTTTTTTCATTTAAATATAATTTTATTCCAAAGTGGGAGCAAAACTTTGCTTTCTTTATGATAGCGTCAATGCAAATATTTACGTACATGTTATATGTGTCCTCCTCTTTACATGTGGTAAGTGGATGGAAATGTTTTAATAAAAATAATTAAATATTTCCATTTTTCTTTTTTTTTATTCATCATTACAATACAAATGAGTTTATGGACTCACACATTTACATACAATCGTATCCGTTTATTGATACGGTAATTTGTATATTTATTTACTTGTTATTGTAAATGAAAAAAAAACGCTGTTAATATTGGATATATTCAAATGAATATAAAATTATTTAAAATACACGAAATTCACATTAAAAGCAACGAATAAAAAATATCGGTTAATAAGTTTCCTGTTGAAAAACAGAAAGAACCAAAGTGAAATGAACGTTATCAAATAGTGCGTAGTTCGCATCGAACTTTGAGAAACCATCCCTGCAGAAGACAGTTGAATATTTTTCATATTTCACACCCGGAACTGAAGGATGACATTGTTAGTGAAATGTTTCAAATTATCGTGTTAATGTCTTGTGGCATTCCTGTAATGGATTGGAAGGTTCTCTTCAGCAAAGTGGAAATTTGTGTGGATTAACTTTGTCTATTGATTAAACTTGTGGATTTTTAATGAGAAAGTCATTTTGGCCAAAAGATCTAAACATTTTAGAGATATATGACGAGAAGAATTTCTCTAGGGAGAGTCAATTAAATTCAAGCCCACTAGTTGGTTTGAGACCTTCCAACCAGTTCTAGTTTATGCGTAATTGTAAAGATTATAGCTAGTAAAGCAATTCCTTAAGACTTTATTGACAAGCGTACTGATGAAAGAGTCACGCCACATTAGCTTCTTTTTTTCCGCAATGCTGGATTCAGTCGTAGTCGCCAAGTAGACCTTCAGAATTTTCCATTTGAATAATTTGTTCGTTTGAAATTTTAACGAGTTACGAAAAAGTTGTGTTGCCTACAATACTTCCAGCAAAAAGTTGGAATTGTTTTCTATTTATTCAAGTGTTCGTTTAGCATAATTCTGTGAACGGCATAATGGAGTTGTCTGACAATTTTTGATTTAATGCGTTTATTAGATATATAATAATTTTTATTATTTTCGTTCTTCGCACCAGCAATACTTCTATTTTGTTTGTTTTGCGATTAAATCGTGATCCGTGCCACTTAATCGCGCAACAGTGCACATAAATGTACATAGTTTACATCCAAACAAGCTTTCGTTGGCATCAATCTTGCAATTGCCGAGATAAACGGACGATTCAATGTTCTGTAAAGAGAATTTGAATCGGCGATCATATTCAAGCACGCTCCTGTGCTTGGATGATAAGGGAGAAATTGAAAAAAATTTCACAAACTTACACCAGTTCTTAGTTCCGGGGCAAAACTTTAAATCCGTACGTGCTCAGGAGGTGGTCGCAAATAATAGTAACATGCAATATTACCACACTGTTTGGAGCTTATGCAAAATTGAGAAATCGCAAGCTCATATTCACCAATACGACGCAGACGACATCATTTGGTCAAGCAAGGCGAACGTAACATTCAACTACGTTCGTAAATGTCATGCTTACAGCGCGCAATTCCTGTCGGTTAATGCAAGATCGTTTGTTAAAGTACGAGGCCAGCGAGATTCTTGAAATGAATTCGAACGATCGTACGCACAAAGAACGGCTATACGAAATTCATTTCTGTGACAATATCTTATGCATCTGGCGAAAAAATTGCGTGACCAAAAACGAAGTGCGGTGAGGTAAGTGAAAACCCAATATTTATTTAAGCAAATAAGTTATATAAAGTGATCAAGAAATCATCTATTAATTTTACATATTTTATGCACTGGACGCGTTTTATTTTCCCTCTTCGGTAAGATATCAAATGCGGGTGTTTGACGTCGAGTCCAAGCTAACTTTTTGGCAAAGCGGTCCGAGCTGTTAGTTAGGCATTCCATTCATGGTCTGAATAGTTATTTAGACCTTTAACGATTACATTAAACAAAATTGAAAATTATTTGCATTTCGTTTTTTTCTTTTGACTCAAAAAAAAAAAAAAATCAGCGAAACGTTTGAGAATCCTGTGTTAGGTGATTTCTCATATCGTGACTGCTGACCGCTTTCATGTCATCTAAGTAAAGAGAGTGTTTTGCACTGACACTTAAATAGTTTTTAACAAGTGTTTACACTTTAAACGCTTCATTAAATCGATATCGTTTGAACGGTTAACCATGGAAAAATTATATGATTATTGACTTGAGTGTTTCAAACAATTCAACCATATATATAAGCGTTAACGTAGCAAAAGTTAACTTTATAGTCATGTGTTCAAGTACTTAAAACTCTAAATCGAATGGAAATACAAAAACTCACGGCAATAAATGAAGGGCGGAGAATTCTTCATCGCATATGTTTAACAATTTTTCGTACAATTCGTGGATTTATTCGTTTTCTGAATCCATTCTTATTTGTAATTTGAAACGAAATCAAGATAAAATCTTTGAATGTTTTCGATCAGCATTCATTACCGATGAAAGAGCCTTCCATAGGCTTACCTTACCAAAAAAGGGAATTGGGTACTAAAGCATACATATACTGTAGCAGCGTAAAATTGCGAATTAAATTAGATATGTCCAATCTAACTAAAGTATAGCAGATTTGCTCTCTTAGAAATAAGCGTCAGCAGCAAAATATTCGTAATTGATCTACTTGTATCCGCACGTCTGTCTACTGCCGCTATGCAGATGACATGGACCTGTTTACTTCGATGGAGCTTGAAATGTACAGAAGATAGCAAATCTACAGAGTGATCAGGGACTTTTTTCACCAAGAGGAAGTGCTTTGTTCAAAGTTCTGTCCATCATCAGCTACACAGAGATCAATTGAAATATTTATCGGGGATGAAACTGTAGTTCCTTCCATAAACATTAATTTCTAACAATGGATGCACATACTTTCCATGGACCTATCTTTACTGACTGTGTTTTTTTGCCGGTTGAAAAATGTAAAAATGTGAGGGAGAAAAAAAAAAATTAAAACAAAAATTGTGAATTGTGTGTGTTGGAAAATGAGAAGAAATAATTGTCGCAAACACATATTCATTTTTACAAGGAATTATTTAAATATTTATTTCATAAAATTTATTGTTAAAACATTATGCTAATAACTTAATCGGCGAGTCGAACAGGAAATATGTAGACAAAATACATATACATATACGTATGTATACCCTATACGGATACTTATATAATTTATATTTACACACTGTTTTAGTAATGAATTATCGCACAACAAATAAAATATATTTAACTATTTTAAGTAGTAGTATCGTAGTTTTACAATTTATATCTTTTTTCAATTTTTTTTCTCTTATTCGTAAACTAATGGAGGATTTTGGTACTAAACACTTATCAACTATAGATCCGCTTTAAAGAGGAAAATATTAACAAACGTAATACCAAACATAAAATGGTTCTTGTTTCGTTAGATAAAGTTGTAATAATAGTAATAGTGTATGAAATGGAGCATAGTAGTGTAGAAGAGAGAACGAGAAGAAGCAGTATTTATGAAGAGTATTGGTTGGCCGAGTATACATGTACATACCGCAAATTACACGTAACGTGTAATTTGAGCATAAAATTCTGATAAACAGCCGTGTAATTGCAAAAACGTTGGACGTTCATTTGGCAACAGAGCCCAACAGTAAGCCATTATGGTAAAACTGTAAATTAAACAAAAAGTAGAAAGACAAAGAAAAAACTGTCAACATAAAAATTGAGAATAAATTATAATGGTTGTAGCATTAAGAGCAAAAGCTTGAGAGTAAATAAAACTTCATTTGCAGTACATTTGTAGAAAATTTATTTAATAACTTACAGCTCGTCTGGGCAATTGAAAGGCTGCGCTAAGCGATAGCCGTCTCTTAGATAATGTTCCATCTCGAAAGGATCAACTTCGGCGTAGGGCGTTTTGGCTGATGTACACAGTTCCCACATCAGCACTCCGAAAGACCAGGAATCGCTTGCCTCTGAGAACTGTTTCTGCTGCAATGCCTCTAATGACATCCATTTAACAGGACGATTTTCACTATCACCTAAACAATTATAATCACCGGGGAATAAATCTCGTGATAGTGAGCTATCTGATAATTTTACGCGCAATTGGTCATCGATTCTATAAAAATAAGGCGGGGAAAAAATAGCAACATTGTTTAAGGCCTTGCAGTTATCAAGAAAGGAAAAATAGGTTTTATATAACTAGAAAAGTTTACGTATGTTGTGGGCTTTACTTCTTTTAACATTTGTTCTCAAGGAAAAATTCTCTCCACAATCATTCTATGAATAAAATTTGCAAAGGTTGTAAGTGCAGCAACAAAACTTAGACCCAGTGTTCTCTCAAAAAATTAATAAAAATCGAAGGTTTCTTTGGCATTTTCGACTCCGTTGCTTTGTTTTTTGTTAATTTCTCTGAATATTTATTTCGGTCATAGCCTCTTCGTTAAATGAACCTATGGTTCAAATTCCTTATCCACTGTAGATTTGTTCATATTTAACGTCTCGTTTAAGGCGAGCATTTTCATTACATTTTTACATACTTTATACAATACTTATTTCTTCTTGCTTGTGTCAGCAAGTCGACTTATTTCTCAGATCAAACTGTAAGACATTGATTTATTTTCTGAAATGTCGAATTTTTCTGTTATATAAATAGTACAGTCCATTCCTTGTTTATATGATTAGCATCAGCATGTTATGATTAGCATCAAATGTGGAATCGATTTAGGCGCGCCCGTCTAGCTGTCTGTGCGTCAGTGTTAAGTCTGTTCTTGCATGCAGTTTGATGTTGAAAATAAGCAAAATCGGTCGAAGGACACGCTTGCATTACTGAGGACGCTGTTTCTATTCTATTTTCAAAAGGAATAAAAATTTTATATTTTTCTCGTTACTCATAAGCAATAGCAGATAGATCTAAAAAAATTTTAACGTATATTGTATATTGACGATGCTGTAGTGCTTCTAATAAATTGAAAAAAACCGGTCACTCGATTTTTTAATGCATCATAATTTAATTTTTTTTCAAAACGCATAGAAGTACACATCAAAAACCACATAAAGTATATAAATTCTTAGCCAGTTTGAAATTTGGAATGTACATACGCATGCCTGCGGTTCGTCTGTTCATCTGTCCATTTGTGCAACCGTGTAGTATCTGTGGTAAATATTCTCTCTCCCGTTCGTAAAAATGGAAGTATCACTTACAAACTTGGAAGAGAATTTAAAAGGATCCAAGCTTTCCAGAGAACACTCTTACAGTTGTTGGCGTGTTGCAGGCGTAATTTACTACTTAACCGTTTTTAGTTTAACAACCTATAAAATTCCTATAGCCCACCAAAATGCTTCCACATTTTACAACTAAACTCTGGGTAATTAAATGAACGTTTAAATGTTTACCCTGTTGACTTTTGTTGATAGTGTTTAGCATTTTGATCGTTGCGATAGATAACTAGGACGGTTCCAATGGGTGACGGCAGTTGGAAGTAACCTCTTACGAAGGAAATCTAGTTACCGCAGACTTGGTAAGCCTTAATATTAAAGTTTTTAAGCCTTACCAGCTTCGCTTGTAATTTATATGGGCAAAGCAACTACAATGACAGCTTCTAGTATATCTTATATATGTGAGCGCGTTACCAGCCCCCACTGCAATTTTCATTCAATAGTATTCTGTTCATATTCATCCTATTTAAATTTATTTTTAATGGCTTTCTTTAGGCAAGTTCTTAAAACAGGACACGAACGCTTGAATATTTTGTCCGTGAAGTGACGAAGTAATAGCGTTGTTTCACTTTCTTTGCTTGTCGTACCAATACCTAACCAATTGATAGTAATTTGTGGTTCCAGATTTTAGATGCGTATTTTCGCATAAATCTAGTAACAGCAGTTAAGATAATCTTCTGTTTTTTAAAGTTTAAACTTATTGCGCAATTTAGGATTGCTTTCACTAAATGTCACAGCCATGATCAACATGCTACAGAAGATAAGGTATTATAAACAATTGCAAATACTAATGCACTTGTTTTCCCCGTCTTTTCCAAACACGGAAAGTATATTTCTTGTACACCATATTTATCTCTTTACAGGTGTTATTTGAACGAAATTCCCGATTCATCATGTTTTTACGCTTTTGCTATTTTATGCTTTTGTGGTACAAGGGCATATTAAGTTTGTGAGGATATATACAACACCCGGAAAAATTGTATGTAGTCCCACCTATGATTGTACGGTCCATCTTATATTCTTGTGTTCAACCTATTCGTTCCAAGTTTTAAGATATTTTTACGAAATTTGGTCCACTGACGGCAACGCATTTGAAAATGATTCGGATCTTATTTTAAGAAGTCGCCAAATGAACAGCAGTATTAAGGGAAATGATGCATGTTGTTTAGTAATGGGCTTTACTGTTTTTAATTGTTGAACTCATAAATTTATATACATTTCGTAGAAGGGACACAAAAGTATTGAAACAGGTGGCACTCATGTACAAAATGAGATGCAAGAGAGTTAAGTGTTTATCCCGCGTAGGACCTGCGCTCTCAAACAACTTCGTCTTTGAAGTTTTTGTCTCCCTTATTATTTGGAAGCAGTAATGATTTTTCTCTTTGCCATCCGGGTAACAGCAACCTTCGCTTCATTGTCTTGATATTAAAAGTAAAATTAGAATTTCGCTTTGTACTTACACGCAATTTCTCGTAGCAATATCTTTATGGACAACTCCATGACTGTGCAGATGACTTAAAGCAGTTGATAGATGAGTGCACATCTGTACAATTTGTATGGTAGTAATAGTTCGGGCACAAGAAGGATCTAATAGAAACATTTTTAAATTTCTTGCATTGTTTGCGGCTGGGTATAAAACAAAGGGCGTCGTATGATCTTCAATCGAAACACCCAAAACAGATAGGATGCCAGGATGGGAGGCTCCATATAGGGACATGCCTTCCTGTAGCAGTAGAGAGACTTGCATTTGACTGGCGTGTTGCGCGACAGTTTTAACTAGAACTTCTTGATTTTCGTTGTAAGTGCCGCGATAAACACGGCCAAAAGTACCTTCTTGCAAAAGATTTGATAGTCGAACACGGCAACGCTCTACAGTAAGTTCTGATATACGACGATGCAATTCTTCCGGTTGCTGAGGTTCAAGTTTTCGTGGCAGTGAATTATGTATGGGCGCTATTACAGACGGTGTTATATACGAAGCAGATTGGCACGGTGGATTAGTGTTTAACCTTTGAAAACTTGAAGTTCGCATGGGTTGACCGTGATTTTGTCGTTTCGCTGAACCGCGCACACAGTATGCGGCGACTAGAAGTATTAGAACTAAAGCAAAAGCTAAAACGCTTCCCACTGCTAGGGTAATAAGGCCTGTGGGAGGCGGTACTAGTGTTTCCAGCAATAAGGGATCATCAAGATTACTTTCCTGTTCTTCCTCCGCTAGTAAACAGATTTTCTTTCGACGAAAAACTAAATGAGTTACATTGTTTAGAGCCCGATTTAATATGACTTCAATGGAAATGGTGACATCTACTTCGGCCGCTCGTACACCTGAACATTTCATACCAATTGAAAAAGTCTGTACGCTCGTGGGAATCTCTCCGATTTGTGAGATGTTAAGCGAGGGACGTGGCAACACTGTTTGATCTGAAGTCAATACATTGATGCTATAAGGCAGCGGACGACCGGCCAAACTTTGCCAAGTAAAACTGATTTCACGTTTATTAGCCGGCACCGGTACTATAAAATTCAAGGCGTAATTGTTGATTTGACCGTCACGCACATAATATACTTCAGCTGATACACCTGCAAATAAAAAAGATTAAAGCTTTCAGAAAAAATGGAAAAAAGCGCAGAGCTTTTTAGTAGCTATTAGTATGTGTGGTAGTAGAAGGTTCGGGTCAAATTTCGGATTATTAAAATTTTTATTATATTCTCTAGGAGCTGTCACTCCTCTTGGGTTACTTGTTTAAGATAACAATCGATCTTTATCCTTGGTGACTAGCAAATATATATAAAAATTCATTTGCTGGTTTAAAATTATCCTCATAACGAATACTCATAAAGAGCCTTTGACCAGCTCTAATCGTGTTTGCCGCCATTCCTATTATGGGTAAAAAATTTAAAAAAGAGTTGGATTGCGGCTACCACTTCCGTATTTCTTTGTTTCTCTTTCTTCACATTTTTTGTGACCGTCACCGCGTTACGCGACAAAAAAAGTCTGCAGTTGGGTGTACCTAGTGAGAGGTTCACAAGCGACGAGAGATTGACTAAGCATCATGGAGATAAACTGCCTAGCGAAGCAATTAATTAAGAAGGAAACAACGGACCACCAAAACAGAATGAATCTAGGTTTCTCAAGTAACAGTAAGGATAACAGAAGCAACTGATTTTTATAAAAAGGCAGAGAAACAAATGGGTCCCAACCCAAATTCTTAAGGGCAAACAGCAAGAATTGCTTTTGAATGAATTCATAACACCCATAGGAAAGAGACCACACAAGGGAGGCTTACTCACGTAGGCATAAGCACGTGTGTAATCTTTTTGTAATGTAAGGATCTTAATGAAATCTATTGCGGACCTAGCTTTACTTAAAGAGAGCTCAATGTGCAAGTTAAAGCGCAATCTCTTGTCAAATAGAATCCCAAATCGATGAACAAATCTACTTTTCCAACTTGTGTGAATCAATAAAGTACTCAGCAATGCATGAAGATGGCCAACTTTATGTTTAGGTAACTAAAACCTAATCTTCTTTCGAGGTCTTTACGGATTTGCTGCAGTAATGAAATCCAAGCCATATGTTTAATGCATTGCATTATGAAAGCTAGAGTGCTTTTTAACACGAAATACGCCTCGAGAGATTTGCTCGCCATTTTTCAGTGTTTGCCACCGATAACCTTTTTGTTTAATACTTACCTGTATGGTTAACAGCGAAGATTATAACTTTTATTATCTTTGTTTCATGCCAAGGCAGTTGTTAAGAACAACATTCTTTTTAGGCCACCATGATGGTGTTCCTTACTACTTAATACTCATTATCGCCTTTAGTGCGAGGCACAGAAAGCAACTATTTACTGGTGTTCGGTAATTAGTTATCACATAGCTAACCACAAGGGTTGCAAACGCAGGTGCGTGCATATATATTATAATAAGCGGTTCAACCTGAGCAACCGCTCCGCGTTATGTCGACGAACGCAAGAATTATTTAAACATGAACCGGCGTCCTGCAATAAATCTTGTGAAAACCAGATTTATTTAAACTGTAGGGCCAGTAATCTCACTTTTGCGAATGGTCGACATCCACCTGGACGTCACTATTTACAGCTCCCGCGCTTCAGAGATTCACTACAGGCACACCGATAATTTTCCTACCTAAGTTATGTTAGGCACATACAACATACTATTACTTCTGCGTCGGAATATCCGAAGCAATTTAATGCGAAAAGTTTCGCTAAGCACATGTGGCTTAGTTGCAATACACTGCAATATGTTAAATCATCATGCATTGTAATTTACTGATCCTCGTAAGCACGTCATTGTAAAATTCGATTACAGCCGGAGAAATTTGATATCAACTGCTTCTAATATCAGACATCGTGGCATTTATTTTGTTTAACGTTCACATTCCAATCTTTGCAAATTATTATTAATATATTAAGGCAGACAGTTCGGGTTTTGTATTCTGAATTTTGTTTGTTCCGATGATTGATAACTTTATTTCAGGAAAACAATTTTGGGTCATACCACAACAGTATGACAAAATTTAGTGCGACGGATGCATCCATCAGAATAAATGTCTCATAATAGTAGTAATTTTTTATTAAATATTGCCTGCGTATGCCAAAGCTTATCAAACCAAGTCACGCACTATTCATTAGTAACATGCCATCTTAGCTATAAGTGTGCGTATGTTTTCTTGTTTTCTTTTTGTTACACTATCAATAAATTTACACATAATCGAGTTGCAGTCCAAGTATACAATTTTGAAAACAAAAAAACAACAATTTTAATTGTTTTATACACTTTGTTGTCTGGCTTCATGGTTAGCAGTCAGCTGGACGTACACAGCACACAACATGGCATACAAGATTTTTGAATCAAATATATGAAATAAATGTTATACATATCCCTGTGTATGCATGCATGGCTATGAAAATGGTATCTTTGGGAATTTTAAACTTCCATTAGACCGCATCACGTCAACTACGTCAAATCACAAAAGCAGAAGCAGAAGAATCAGCAGAATAAACGAAACGAATTCATTCTGAAGAGATGCATGCGGTTATATGTAATATGCCTTGCGTCCGACACTGCATGCAAGTGATTGTGATGTAAACGTATTCATGATATGACATATACAGACACAATAAATATTTGATTGCCATAAAGTGCAGGCGCACACAATTGTTCATCCGAACGCATACGAGCAGGCTTGGCGTGTAAGCATATAAAATGTCATAGACGTTACGTATAGATTTTCAGCAGAAATAAAAAGAAAAGAGAGAGAGAGAAAGAGAGAACGAGAGAGAGTGAGAAAGCCATTTCAATCTGGTACAATTAAAATTTCAATTTGTTTATTGTGTATGTGTGGTAATAGGTTTGTTCAGTTAAATTGTGGTTTCTTGTAATTTAAAATCATTATTTCAATTTGGGAATTCTTGACTTGTCTCGATGCAATAGCAGCAATAAAAACAATAACAGCCAATGTATGCATCGCACTATGTAATGCACATGTTTAAGTGCATATCACCGACTGCCTGTATGTAGGTGCGTGTGCAACTGTGAAGATTTGTAAGCTTTGTGTTTTTCTTTCTATTTTCTATTTTCCATTTTTTTTTTTTTCTTTAGACTAATTAAAATTGCTATTCGGTCAGATGGACGTGCTACAGTCAAATATGTAAAAATTTAGCTGTAGTAGCTTTGCGTCCAACTTTCAGGCGATCAGTTACTATATTTCACTAATTATAAGTAACTGTGAAATTAGTGAAGCTAAATATCTTCCGCAAAAGTCTCTAAATTGTAGGTTTTTCTCACAAGAGATGTCGTCTTAAATGTTCTTGCGATGACTAATGGGAAGATTTTCAGATATATTCGTTTAGTGTGTGTTGGAACTGTGTAAACAAAACAACAATTTCTTAAACAAAATTATTTTTAATGATTACGCTTATCTCCGTTTGTGTGGTTACATTAGCAAAAGAAAATTGTTGCGTATTGTTGTCGCAATTGTTGAGATATATTGGTGAAATGAATTTGGCTTGCGGATGTGTTTTGTGGCCGGCCGCTATTGAAAACAGTTTGAGTCGGGCCATCAAGATTTTTTTAAGGAAAAAAAACATTTCAAAAGGGTAGAAAGTTATTATGTTGTTCAGAGATTCTGTGGCTTCGATTTTAAAAGACCATTTTCGAATCATTTATAGATTTTTTCATAATTATTGAAATGTTGCTCAAAGAGCTCATTTGACATCGTTTGAAACACACACTAGTGTGCCATGGCCAAGTCTGTTATGCAATGATATTTAAGAAAGTTTATCGTAGACTCAAAAGCAGAATAATGTGAAAGGCGCGGTTCGCACGCAAATTCTACAATAAATAAAAATTCTTTGGCCGGTCGATGGTTTAATCTGTAGTGGACGACGGACAAATGAAAGGCTTGCTTCTTTTTCAATTTAAAAGCAAAACAAGTTCGTTTAAACTTCGTCATCATCGTCTATCCTTGTAATTCACTACAGTTGCTTCCTGTGCTACGCTTAACCTTCCTGGACCATCTTGGGCCAGTATCCACGATCTGATTAAATGAATTCATTCAATAATGCTTTACTGAGGTTGTCTGGTAGGACGAGCCTTCCCTGCGCGCATATCAAATTAGGAAAACCATCAATTCAAAATTTGTCAGTCATAGTCAGTTGAAAATGTTGGTTCTTTTTTTACCTTGTTTCTAGTCTTTAAACCAAATAGGTATTACTCTTAAATGTAAATTAAATTAGTATTAGAGTTTTACTAAACAGAAATATACAGAAAATAGGAAAAGAGGAGAAAGAGGAAGAGAAAAGAAAGAAATTTTCTACAGAATATTTTAATGCAAATCGCATGAAAATTAACATCCCGGGAATTTCAAATTAATTTAATCTATTCTAATCCTAAATTACTAAAGAGCTCATGTAAATTAATGAATAGATGAATGAAAAACACTAGTAATCTCTTTTACGAATAATGTTATACACCTTTTTCTAAACGGAGTTTTACATACGAGTAGTTTATGGCAATTCACACGTTTCTTGCTAAACGCAGTCGACGATATGTGCACATATCGCATGAATTTTATTTACAAACTCTATATGCATGTGTTTGTAGTAACAATACGCATACATCAGTAAACATAATGTCACACCCTTGTCAGTGCCATAGTCATCATAACGGTTGTCGTTGTCGTTGTCATCGTCATCATCGTTCTCGTCATCATGTGCAACTACACTACCGATACTGACGACACTAAAGAAAATGAAATGTGAAGACTTAAGAGGATTTTGTTAATGTAACACAAAAATGAGAAAAAAATAAACAAATTACACAAAGACTGAAAACAACAATAACGGAACAACAAAAAGCCATTATTGAAGTTTAAGGTGATAATAGTTAATATAAGTCTTTCGTTACACGCGCGCACATATCTAAGCGAAAAAATTTTTAATGCCTTTTTCCCAATTTTCATTAAGAAAATAAAGAATAACAAAAAGAGTAGTTAGGGATCAAAACAGTAATGCATATAATGAAGATGACAATTTCACAGTAGTGCGCATGAAACGAAT